TTTGGGGAAGAACACTCATCATCTCCAGCTTAACCACCGTGTCATGGCTTTGACGAAGACAAACTTCCGCATGGTGGCCTCTTCTCTGTCGGAGATGACAGAACGTCTATCAATCTTCTCGCCTTGGCTAGATCTGACATCACCGACGAGACTCCAGTCATCCCCTCCGGATCCGCTGGACCCACCGGACCCCAGCAACTCTCCAACTTCGGCTCGGATCTCGGTCGTAATCTCTCAAAAACTCGTATCACCTCTCATCCAAAATGAAACGCCAGCACTACCGCGGTCTCCGGTTACATCGTTGCTGACAACCTCCAGCCATCTCCGCCGCATTCTCTTGAGTTCAAAGGTCTTCATTGATAAATATCTCGCCATAGAGATGGGGTCTCCGGTGGCCCTTTACTGCCTCACCGTCACTCTCATTGGGATAAAGATATGGGCCTGACCCATGACTCCCTCTTCCAATCCAATCTCCTTTAATGGATTTTGAACCTAACTCAAGCCCATCAACAGTTTGCATAGTCTTCACTGTGTCGCTTTTGGTTGAGGGATTAAACTTCCATGTATTGTGTTTGTCCACCACAACAATTTCCTCGTATTGGAGAGATCGTATCAATTGAAGTCTTTCATCATGGAGAGAAAATTTCATCAACTTTCTCCACTATGGAGAGATCGCTTTCATTATTTTCCTCCTTTTCGGAGAGAACCATTTCACAAACCGTTTCCTTTTTGGAAAATGTTTTTAAACGCTGAGCCCTAAAGGCACTGCGAACTAAAAGATTCGTTCATTCACCCCTAATGGTAGAAGAAACTAGCTCTTTCGAAGGAACTTCCGGTTATTATCTATGATTGTAACTATTTATCTTATCTTTGTCATGTCTTGTATTTCAATATTGCTTTAAGTTCAAGTTCAGACTCTTTGCCATCGAGTTCCCGGCTTCTTCGAGTTGTTGTAACCGCGTTTTAAGATTAATATAAGATGTTTTGTCCAAAAAAAAAAAAAGAATTCTAAACGCTGTTGAACTATGTGAAATTCGACTCTTTTATATTCTACTGCGGGTGTTATGCACTTGCAATTATAGCTAGGACATGACCCAACACAATCAAATTTTTGGCGCTATTGTTGGAGATTAATTGTGTTACTTTTAACTTTAGTATAAAATTCAGTATAAATCATTTATTTTTCTCTTCATATTTACATTTTTGTTCATTTATTTTTCATTGTTTCAGATGCACGACTAGGAGAAATCAAAACTATACCTATCTAGTACCTCCAAAAGACATCAAAGGAATTATAGAGCAAACGGGAAGTCTAGAATTCTACAAGAAAACAAGGCAACCCCTCCTTGCCGTAGAAAGGTAACCCCATCTTTGTCAATAGTCAATCCCTTGCTGCCGTTGCTCTTCGTCCACAAGATCCTCGCATTGGTGTTCACGCACATGCACTTGTGAACCTCCACAAAAGCAAGAGTATAAGATCAAATTACAGATAATTGCATTTGATTAAGCTAGGGAGTTTAATAACGAGAGTAGACTAGTAAACTTCTTAAGTTTTCTATTATCTTTAAAATTTGTTGATCATACTTATTGTAGCATCTTGGTTGATTATTAATCTACATTAGAGTCTATGGTACGGTTGAATCTGGTTTAATTATGGAACCGTGCTGAATTTTGGCGATTTCTTTGAAAAATATTGCGGAATAACTTTAATTTAAATTGTCACAGCTGAATTTAGCGGGATACAACAAAAATTTTGAATTTTTTTAATTAATTTAACTTATGAATATATTAATTAGAAATTTTTTTGTCAAAATTAAATATTTATGTCTATAAATGTATTACATTTTAGAAAACATAAATCTAACTTATTTCATCAATATTTTTGTTTTATTTGTATTTTCGTTGAGCAAAATTTACAAGTATGTTTTATTATTTACCACTAAAATTAGTTAAACCTTTCAAAACTTATATATTTATAGCATTAGCATTATTTAACAAAAATAAATCTAAGCTTAAAATATTACAAAAACACTTTTTTGACAATATGGATTTACACATTTCCGTGTTATCTATATTATAAGGGTGTTCATACATAAAAAAAAAGCACAAAAAAACAGAATATGAATATTCAAATATCTCGATAAGTAAAATATCTAATCCCAAAATAATGAGATAGTTCACCTAAATTACAATGAACTTTAGTATAAAATTCTTACATAACGAACGGTATATATTATGCATTATTTTTACTTATTAATTAATTTCAATAAGAGGTAGTTCCTTAATCTATTTTGTTAAATTTTATACACTACAGAAATATCCTCTAATCCATCTTTCAATATCACGTCGCATGTTTATCCTTGCTTCACTTTCAGAGTTAGTGGAGGAATTTTCATAAGGAAATTTGTTTTACAGAAAAAAATATATATTCAAATTTAAAAACATTATAAAGAAAAAGAAGAAGAAAACATATATATCATAAAAGAATGTGTTTTTATATTAAAAAGTTGTTGAATTGAATAAATCTTGCCAAATTCCTTCCAATTCCTCCAACACAATTTGGCACGAATTGGAGAGGAATTTGGCAAGATTTATTGTTTTTTTTTTAATTCCTCCTAATTCCTCTATATCCCACAATTCTTGTGTCACAATTTAGGGGTTTAGTCAATTGCTTTGTTCATGGCCAACTGATTTTGTTAAATTTGTAGATAGATTTGGTTAACTTTAGAAAGATTTTTGTGTATTCAATAAATTTATCAAAAAATTATACTTTAAGAATTTTCATAATCTCATGAATTTTTTTAAGATTGTGAAAGTTGTTTTTAATGAGTAAAATTTCATGTATCAATAAAACTAGGTTTTACAAGAATTACATAATGAATAGAAACCAAAATTTTTGAATAACAATAGATTTTGAATGGAATTTAAAAATCATCAAACCAATAATAATGGATTGTAATAAAATTGTTATAATTTATAAACCAATAACATTGAAATCTAAGAATTCGAAAAATCATTAAACATCCTTCTCCCAATAACCTCTCTTAGTATTGTAAACCCAAACAATCTTCTTCTCTCATGTTAAGTAGGTTTTAGATAATTTAGTGTGTTATTTGATTTTTTTTTTGTGGGATCAACCTATAAATATTATTCGACGTACAATGGGTTTAATAGGTAAAATAAAAGCGTGTTATATGTGAATAATATCTAAATGTATAAAGTGTTTTGGAGGATAGTATACATGTATCATAAAATGTTTTAATCCACTGTTAAGAAAGATAATATATACAAATAAAAAATATTAAATTTTGGTTTAATTTATTATGATGTGCTCATAGCGAAACAAAGCCTAGTTGAATAGTAGTATTACGATAGTAGTATAGGAAGAGGCATATCTCTTTATTAAACTAGTGGATGTCTACAAACTACAGCCGCATATGAATATATATATGCAATTTATCAAGAATTTATTATTCGGAACTTGGAAGAAGCTAATCGAAGAATTTGTTTGGATGGTCCTCGACCGAGTAGAACCTTTCTCACTTATTGTGATGAATAGCAATCAATGCATTCTATGATATAAAAAAAGTTAAGTTAGTTTTAAAGCTATTTAACTCATAAACTCGTTAAACCATTTTAGCAGAAAAAAACTCATTAAACCACAGAATGAATTCAAATAGTAATATCATCAACAAACATTTTAAATAGGACTCTTAAATTAAAATATTTTACATGATCAAACTATGTTATAAAATATGATTACAAATATTAAACTAGATTTTAAATCATTAAAATACATAGACAGAAATATAGTTTAGATCCTTGCTCAAAAAAAGAAAAAAGAAATATAGTTTAGATCCAACTTGGATCATCCAAGTGAATCCGTTCTTGATTGTTTAGTTATTTTATTCTTTACCGGAAGTGTTTGGAATTTGATGCATCTTGCCCACCGATAAAAAAATTAATATTCTCTTAAAATATTGTTCACAAACCTCCAAATGGGATGTATCTTAAGCTATATATAAGGCAATTTCCAAATTTACTATATTTAAAGATTTGTTTTTAAAAATACCATTATTTAGTAAATATTTTAAAAATGCCATAAACCTTAAATTAAATATTTAACATTTAAAACTAAACGCTATATCTGCAGCTAGCAATGTATGTATGCAATATCTTTTTGGTTTTTTTTAAGTAAAGTATGTGCGCATGATAAAAGAGTAAATATGTGTTCAGTGGCTCGTTGGTTGCTGCTCAAAGACAAAAGACATAAAATTGTTACAGTTAAAGAGTTAGATTTGGTAAGACCTATTTGTTATTTTTTCCATGGATTCTTTTTAATAACTGGGCTTATTTACGGTGATAACTAATAAGTTTTAAATAAAGAAAAAGTATGGATTAAATTCTAAAAAACAAGTAAATGAGATTTTATGCACATTATTAGAATTTTTTTGCATTTTATTAAAGTATCGACTTGTGTATTCTTTTAAGATATTATATGCGTTGTGTGTGAGCAGCATCTTTTCCAACTCTGACTTGTTCTCAATGGTGCATAACTCAATCGTCGAATATCGGCAATGCGAATAAGCGAAATTGAAAGGGACTTTATTGACCAACTTTCGATGGTCGTACGCCATTCACCCTCTTTCCAAAAGTCCTAAAGGAAAATTATTATATTGTGTTGACCAAAAAAATTACTAATTTAATGTTTTTTTTTTCATCTGTAATATTATATTACACATGGTATAAAACTAGAAAGGAATACATAGCATAAATACGCAGATAGAATACAGGTAGATACTACGATATAATACAACCCAAAACAATTCTGAAAAACACCCAGAGAAAAGGATTAAGAAATTGTCAACAACAAAAACTATAATCAAACTAGTTGTAGCAAGTATTCAACTACTTCCCCTTCCAACCAATGAACTCATTCCTCACAAGCTATATTAACAGAATTTTGAAGCTGAAGATTACCACTGAAACTAGAGCTGAAGACAAGCACGTAACCGTAACGAAAAGCAGCTATGCCGTACCCTCAAGAGGCCCCCGAAGTCCAATGTAATTGGGCGCGACCGATTCCACGTACTCCAACTCTCCATCCCACACTAAAAACCCCTCCGCAACAAAACCAACGAGCCATCACAAAGTTAAAGGATTGAGCCATCGGGAAAGCGATTAGTGAAAACTACAACACATGGCCTTATTCTTCGTGAAGGATGCAGAGGGTTACGACCCGTTCAAACCTTTTCAAGAATCCGATCCAAAGAAGACTTTTGATAGAAACCGGAATTCCATGGCCTAATTGCATTAACAAACAAGGCTAAAGAGGACATATCAAATCAATGTCCGGAATCACAAATCAGAAGATCCGAGCCAGAACCAAAGATTGAAGTCCACCTACTAGGCCAATGAAGCATACTACCAAAGAAACTACAAGAAGAAATCAGAACGGGTCCAGACTAAAACAAAACAAAAAGCTCCCTAAACAAGAAACACGAGCCTAGTCGCAAACACTTGACTACACCCCCACCGAGACTTAGCTTTACCGACGAGCAAGAGATCATACACCACCGAGAAGGAGAGAAAAGAGTAGAAGGAGGAGGATCTGACACGAAAGATTTTTAATTGTTAGTCCGAATATCCATTTGGTTAAACCGTATGGATTTTCTGGTTTAGAAATAATCTAAAATAAATCATAATCT